AGATGGATGTAGAAATTCCGTTCTATATTTAAAGGAAAAAAGAGTTCTTCTCAGCCAGTCTCCATCCTTTTATAAAATACTAGATTTATTGAATTACTAGATTTAGTTCAGGTGGTACGGTTGACCTTGTTCAAGCTTATTGTTCATCGTTAAATAAAATAGTCTGCTCCCTGGGAGTTAAACGGATGACCTCGATATTTTATTAAACACTCCTTGGTATTGCCATGCCTCCATTCTGCTATCCTAACCGGATGTTATTCATTTAAAGCCAAACTAAAGGAAACAAATCTTTCCATTTATAACGTAGCGTGTTCACATAATTAAATATTCATTGACTGCAATTCCATCTGATCACCCCTGTTGTCATATTGTTTGTTACAGTTACTGTGCAGTGTTGTACCGTGGACTCAGACTGTAACCACTTGACGTGCGGGGCTGGTCAAGAGCCATCCTGCCATGGTAACCACTGCCATTGTCAACACGTACAAGCCTGCACAGGAGATAGCGATTGTCATGGTCACTGTAATGCCGGTGGTGTCCCAACATGCGATGACAACGGACACTGTCACTGTAACTAAGGTATGTCCTTACTTAAAAATACATTAAATACCACGAGAGAAATGAACGCCGAAATATTCAAAAGAAGTGTAAGATAAAATGCACGAACATGTACAGCATTAAATAGCATTTAAAAAAATGATATATCTAAGTCAATCCACGATTGAAACTTGATACATTTGTAAGCTTTGAGCAGCTTGTTGATAAAACTAACGGAACCAATTACATGGACATGCAACTTCGAGAATGAAACAAACTTTTCCCAATATTTCCTTTAAACTTACGGAGCTAATTACCCATGTATGAATTTGTTAGTGCACACAGAATATACTTGCATAATGATTATTCTATTTTCAGGTGTAGATACGAAACTTGATTGGAAATGGCAAAAATAAAATGAAGATATCAAAAATGTTGTATTAATAAAATCATGTTTTCTTTTATTTTATATTTTGTTGTTGTTGTTGTTGTTGTTGTTGTTTTGCGTTTTTTCTTCTTCTTTTCCGTAAGGGATGCAGGTCTTTTTCGGGCAGTATTTCTTTTCGTACTAGTGGTTTGATATATTTAGTATTTCTTGAATGATATGCAACATACTAATATTTCTTGCATATCAGACAGGATTATCTACCGTTTACACCGGTGCTAGAAAACTCTATCTTACACCCCCGTCCCCACGTAAGACAAGTAGTCAAGGGGCAGGACGTGAAGTGGTTGCTCACTTGGTTCAAGCGAGCGAATTGGTTGCAAACTTGACAAAATGGCAAACACGTCGTCATTTTTTGAAACGGGTGAACGAATATTTGCTAGGCAAGTAGGTTTCTTTGTTATTTTGAAGTTCATTAGTATGTCTATTCCATAATGCAATATATATGCCACACTCGGTTAAAGGTTTCAGCATCCTAGATTCTGTTTTGACGAAGTTATTGAAGATATAAACTGATCATGTAGATATTTTGAAATTTGACATGTGACTGTTCTGGTCGGTTTTTCTCCTAATTTATTCGAATTTGTAAGTTTTGAACTGCATTTAACAATAACAAAATATGTTTCTGTTAATGCTGTACAAATGGTTTAGTTCGCAAGTCCAAAGATAACATTCAATACACAAAAATATATTGTTCAAGCACATTTTGGTTGCAGACTTATACTTCAAGCATTTTTGGTTGCAAACTTTTGTTTCAATAATGTGGCATGCATATTTTTAGCGAGGAATAACTTATCTTTTTTTTTAATAATTAGCAATATTAAGGCAAGTATACCCGTTCATCTAATAAGAAATTTATATACAAATTGTGCATGCGTGCAGATATATCCTAACACAGGGTCTTTCAAATAGATATAAAACACAATATGCTAAATTGAAGTTCAGTTGTGTTTATCTTCATCATTTTTTCTCCTCGATATACTTCTTTTCTTTTTACATAGTCTTAGGACTTTTTTTATCTTGGCATGATTAACAGTAAAGGAAAAGAAGAGAAAAATAGCAACAAACAGCTTTCATTATTGTTCTTTTTTTTAGATTTGAAATAAATTTGATTATATAGTAGATACAAAATATATTAACATTGACACAATGGCTTATTCACACGTTTTTTTTTAAATTGTTCCTTATTATTGACCAATCGAAACATATTCCAAATTCCCTAACTCGAACAATGACTTTAAGTAGTTTTGTCACATATCAGTCAATGTAAATTACCAATCGTATATCAGTTATATTATGATCTAATAGTCAAAATAATTTTTAGAATACCAATTGACATATATGATATGTACATCAAATCCGAAATATTGTAAACAAGCATGTCATTTTAACTCTTGGTTTATATGTACATTTACATACTTTATGTCTAAAGCAACTGCTGATCTTTAAATACGGAACAAACAAAATAACATGTATTGTGGTTTTGATAAACTTTGGAAATTTTGCCGAGTAACACCGTATATGTGCACATGTCCTTATGTTTATGGTGAAAATAATTCACTTACATACAGCAGTACTCTCACATACGTTAGTTTTGTATGCAGTTTTCATTTGCATTTTACATGTGATGACATATTTTAGAATTGAAGTATCAATAAATCATTTTTCTATATGCTATAATTTTGTTCGCAGGCTTTTGCTGATGATTATAGTATTGAACTGAGAACCATGTAATTTGAAACATAAAGTGCATACTTGTTGTAAAAGAAGAAAGTATAAATAACATTTATAACAAAAACAAGTAAAAGAACATAAATGTCAGTAATTGCCATTGAAAATAGGTTAATAAATATAAACTACAACAATCCTTTTGCAAAGTTTTACTATGGATTTCAATAGAATAAGAATAAGTTTGCAACCAAAAATGCTTGAAGTATAAGTCTGCAACCAAAATGTGCTTGAACAATATATTTTTGTATATTGAATGTTATCTTCGGACTTGCAAACTAAACCATTTGTACAGCATTGACAGAAACATATTTTGTTATTGTTAAATGCAGTTCAAAACTTACAAATTCGAATAAATTAGGAGAAAAACCGACCAGAACAGTCACATGTCAAATTTCAAAATATCTACATGATCAGTTTATATCTTCAATAACTTCGTCAAAACAGAATCTAGGACACTGAAACCTTAAACCGAGTGTGGTATATATATTGCATTATGGAATAGACATACTAATGAACTTCAAAATAACAAAGAAACCCACTTGCCTGGCAAAAATTCGTTCACCCGTTTCAAAAAATCACGCCGTGTTTGCCATTTTGTCAAGTTTGCAACCAATTCGCTCGCTTGAACCAAGTGTGCAACCACTTCACGTCCTGCCCCTTGGTAGTATCGTGATTTAATATATTAGATATATTCGTTACTGCTATGCATCATGTACAAACGTATAATTGTCGACTATATTTAAGAAGTCATTGCACTTTTTTCTGATTTGCAAATCGACTATGCCATTTTGAATATACCAACAACGTGTTTGTCGGACACTTACTTTCGGACATACAAAATTCACAGCCAAACTTATAAAAATAGTGTTTTTGGTTATAAATAAATCCAGTAAAGACTGTTTCTTAACATTCGATGTTAACTGTGAAAGAAAACCTCAGGTTCCTCTAAATGCAATATTTCTGTCAGTTGCAGACAATGGAAGAACTATTAACCATTTATAAGCTAGCTTGAAAGCTAAATCCATGTTGATGAAATCGCCAGTGAAAAACAATTTAAGAATATTTAAAAAGTGTTAATTCTTAAAGAATTTTCGCGATCTTTTGAGTAATTATCAGAAAATATGCAAGAACGATTTAGTCTATTTAAAACTTCGATATTTCGCTTATGATAGATTATACCTACTTTGGATACCGGTTAGGCTGATTGTTTGGAATCCGAAGTTCACGTGACTTTTAGCTTAAGCCGGTATTATTGACGGTAGCTTTAACTTTCAAGTTACGTCCATGAACATGCTCAATCAAACCAAGCATACAATATTATCGATTATTTTTTTAAGGGATTCCCCTTTTCTTTATTTATACAATAATAAATATCCCAAACGAAATAAAATGACGACTGCGGAGAAGAGGACAGTTGATTATTTTGTTACATTTAGGTAACAAACATTTTCGGAATCCAAACTTGACTAGCCAACATTGTTACTAAGTACCTTCCCGTACATTTAATGGGTAACATTGTTACACAAGAGATTCCAAACTAATGGGTGGAATAAGGCTTCCTTTCTTTATCAAGCATACATGGATCGATGTTTTATTTAATGTATCAAGATCAATATCTCATATGTACTTTAAGTTATATAAATATGTAAGTACATTTTTATGTTTGATTTTTTTTAACTAATGTGTCATGGAGAACAACTAAGAGTAAAAAGATGTATTCTAAATTAATAACACAAACGTGGCCAAGGTTGTTAAAAAATTTTTAGTATGCGTGATATGCATATGCAAGGAAACACAACAATTATTATCGAATAAATATACGTATATACTGAACAAAAAAAGAAACTTTTTCTATTTAAGTGCAGATATACACAAATATGAAAATCAGAATTAAAGTAGATTGATATGTATTGAAGGAGTCTTTTATTGCGATTCTTTTGTGAAAATAATTGCCGATGGTTTATCATTAATTCGTGAAATGGTAGTTAAAATTCAGAAGGGGTCGCCCAACAAAATCATAAATTACTACCGGGTATGACCACCTTCAGCAGGAAGGACTGAATGGCATCGTTGGCGCATAGAACGGACCAGCGTATTGATATCGGCTTGAGGAATGTTGTCCCATTCCTGAATTAAGGCTTCTCTTAGCTGAAAGACGTTTGACGGTGGAATAGTGCGTCTAACACGCTGGTCCAAATTATCCCAAAGGTGCTCAATGGGATTTAGATCAGTGATTGATATTGGTATTACATGTATTTTGAAACAGTGGGACAACATGCCTCGCAAGAATTTCATCTCGGTAGCGTTGGGCATTCAAGTTTCCTTCGATAACGACGCAATTAAGGCAAAAGCCAGGTGCAATGCCTGCCAAGACCAAGACAGAACCCCACCCCAAAACGACCTACTTCAAGTACGCAGCAGTCGGCAAAACGTTCATACGGTATACTCGATTCTCGTCATCATCTCTATGAATGGAAAACCTCTACTCGTCAGAGAAAAGAACGTTATTCCATTATTGTCTAAGCCTGCGTTGGTGTATATGAGCCCAATTAACACGATTTACGCGGTGACGTCACCACAACTGTAGCAGTTTGGAAACGATTGCACAGGCGGGTTTTCCGAATAAGCGGTCTTGGGCAAGCGTCGTGACGTGGTCGATCTTCTGTTGTAAACGTTGCCTTAGGTGTCGAATAGCACAAGTAAGATCATCGAATATTCATAGCGACGTCATTCATTGTAAATTAAGCGGAATTCTAGGCATGTAAAATACAATAAAATTTAAAAAAAGGAAAAAAAGTTTACAACGTCTTTTTCTCATTCACATGAAAGTCAAATTATAATAAAATTACACTGAAAGGTTTCATCTACTGGTCCATGCATGCACGTGAAAATCGCGTTCAGCAGGTTCCTCCAGCAAAAAGATTTCAAATCAAGTTATAATTTGTTTTATCGGACATGTTATCGTTTGCATAGATATATGTAGCTCATTTGATATTTTGATTTTTGAATAACACTATATCTTCTCTTTAACACAGGGGAGGTTTCTTTTTGTTCAGTAAATTAATAACCTTTTTCATACCATTTTTACGTCTGACATTTTGTCAATAAAGCATCTTCAACACAATTAATGGCATGTATACATTATATTAATTTCCTTGGTTTTCGTAAATTGTGTCGGCTTTCATAAAGCCAAGCAGAATGGTCAAATAGTATAAGACTCTTTCAGCTCAACATTTTACAAGACACGTGTAACAAGAAACAAAAATGTCTTATCGATAAGCATTGACATAATAAATGTTAGATATAGATAACCATATTCAAACTATCTACAATGTACGCGAGGGGCTTCTATTCAAATCCAAGAAATGTCTTACCTGCTTTACTGCAGCAAAGAACATTTATACGACGAGATTTAGAATGGACTTCTACGAAAACATTTGACAAATTATGCTTTTGCAAAAGGATGCACATCATTAAAATCTCTCCCCTTCTTTTTTTCAAAGGAAAATTAATAGTATCAATCTTTTTAGGTATCTGTAATCTTTATAACAAACGATCATATTCGATAACTGCCAAATTGAACGGAATCATGTTTCATTGTGAAACACGAAGGACGATAGGCCTGAGCTTTAAAGCATTTAAACGATAAACAAGGGAAAATTGTACAACAATGCAAGTCAATTACCACATGCTAATAGAAAGAGAACTAAAATACCTTAAACCCTAACTGCGTAATGGTTTTACGAAGGTGTCGGACAAATTCGGTGAAAAACGAAACCACATGCAGGGTTGTTTGACGATGACGATCAAATTTATGAACGTATGTACATTTGAAATAAATAAGCAGTATATGCAAAAAAATCACAGAAACTAGTATATATAAATATTTATTGATTTATTTATTTAATTGTTCATAATATTATTATGCTACAATTGTTACAGGGAATACAAAACATATTATTGGATGTGCAGCAGGGTCATTTGAATCTTTTACTTGCCACTTCGCCGCCATACGTTTCTGAAATGAATGAAAACATGCATGTAATTTGCTATCAATTACTTAATTTGTCTGTTATTAATTCCTCAATGAAAACTGTAATTGCATTTCACCAGGATTTAACCTTAATTGTATCATAGTTTGGAGACCTTTCTGTTGAAAATGTGTCGGAGTTAAATCGTATACATATACATGCACAGTGCGTTAAATTGGGTGCAGGTATAAGTTACCCGCACTCCAGAGCTTGCTTATGGATTGGCTCATTTTTTTCTAGTGTTGACTGATTGTGACGACTGAAAGAGTAATAACGATATAAATGTCACATTCAGGGGCCCGTTCATTGATAACCTTTTCTAGGGTTTCCTATTGTCACAGGGAACGTGTTTTTAATTTTGCCTATGATAAAAAATAGAAAGAACAACAAATAACTGGGCAATCTGATTTATACTCGGGAGTTACGCCCCCTCGTAAACATCAGATAGCCTCGTGTTTCGATGCTCTTTCTATTACATATACACTAAAAAATATTTGTCTTAGCACAGAAAGATAATTATACAGAATCAAAGCGGAAAAGAAGCTTACGCCCGGAGCAAACGTTAGATTTTTTTACCTTTATCAACTAATTAACACATTAAAGCGAATAACATTATATTTTTATGTTTTCCATGACAGAATATTTATCACTTAACATGATATTAAGTTAACCAAGTAATTTTTATCATATTTATTTATTACACCGACACTCGGAGGAAGACCTTAAATGTATGTGAGTGAATTATTTCAAACATGAGTTGGCACCTGAATAAAACTCCCGATCTTACATAAGCCGGATATCTAACACGTACAAGAACATCCTACGAGCATTGCGGTATTCGAACCAATAGTATAGTTTGAAGTCAATGTTTAAATCACTTGGGTATAGATGTCTACGTCTCGAAATAACGCTCAAGTATTTCATTTATTTACTCAAAATGTATGCAAAATACAAGTGTTTTCAAATCATATTAATTTCTCGAACTTCAGAACAGAAAAAAAACACATAAATAACAATATCACATACCGGGTTTGTTATTGGGACGGTGACAGTGGCTGTGTATGTTTGTTGCAAGCCAGCTTGTATTGGACATTTGACACCTTTAGTGCATGCGTCGTTTGGGTTGATATTCCATATTTCTTCGGTTCCAGCCCCAGTTACATCGCCACTTGCAAAATTATATGCATGGTCATGGTTTACCTCTAGGTAAGAATAAACAAAATGGTATATGATACTCCACTCACAATTGAGATGAAAATTCATATTAATCCCACTGAAATTTATTTCTTCAACTTAATTGTCTGTAGGTTGATATACGGAACCCGGAAGCACTTTGAAGGTCATCACGAAGTAGGTTTACAATTGCAAAAGTTTCATCGAGCCTAAGTAACTAGAAAAAGATTTCAGCTGCTTAAATTAAGCAGCTACTCTTTTGTCCAAACACTGTCTCTTTATCGATGTACAATACTGTTGGAACCCGTACACGTCAAGCTTTTAACGCTTTTGTGATAGTTCAGTCATTAACGCCAACTAGTAAACTTATACGTGTCTGTAGTTTTACGAGGAAACTGTTTGTGTCAATCATAGTTTTTTTGTGTGTACACTGAGGCCCATCTCTGTACATCACTAAACAGTTTCCGAAGCAAATAAAATAAATGTAGAGGAAACCCTCCGATTTCGGCAATAAGTCACTTCTCGTCAAAATTCTTTTTAAGTCGGTGTGGTTTCATTTTCTAGTTTGTGCAATTGGTTCATTTTGTGTTTACATGTTCAAACGATATGTATAATAAATTTCAAATACTATTATGAAAAAGATAGTTGGATGTTTGATCTGTTGAGAACCGGATATAATTTTGGATATACCCTCATAACTGTCTTCACTACAAACAACCGCTTTCCACTGATTAACATGAACATCAGCAAAAGTTTGCATACTTTTATGACAATATGGATGCATGTGGTTTTTGTAGTTTACTCATCGGAACACGAAAGATAGCCATTTTGAATTCGACCTCTGGTGACTAAGTTATTATATTAATTATATATACAATGGTGCTTATTTAATCCAAAACTTTGACTGGTATGGTATACAATATATTACACGAGAATGCAATTCTGGCGAATTGTTTTGCTCAAGTTGAATTTGTAAGGCTTTATTTTAATTAATATTACGCGGGCAATAAAAGAGATGCAATCGATATTTGCATTTTAGTTTGGAGCCCTTTGTAAAAGAGTTAAATTGATACCAATGCATGCAGAGTGCATAAACTGGAGTTACCCGCACGCCAGTTACCGCACTGCATATAGGGGATAAAAATAGACAACGCTCGTCTAGGACGACAGGTAAAAGGGATAACGATAGAAAAAATTATATCAAAATGCTCGTACATTGGTTACTTTTTTCTGGGTTTTGACATTGTGACGACAGGAAATTGATAAATATATAAATTAGTCACATTTAGATGCTCGTACATTGAATACTTTTTTCTGGGGTTTCATATTATGGTTTCATATTATGAAGACAATACAAATGGATAACAATAGAAAAAAAAACTCGTATTCAGATGCTCGTACATTGGTTACCTTTTGTGGGGTTTCGCATTGTGAGGACAGGGATTTTTGTATTTTATCTATATGACGTCAAAACATGCGGTAATCTGATTTATACACGAGGCTATGAATACCCCCCCCCCCCATACAAATCAGATAGCCGCGTGTTTTGATGCTCTTTCCGTAACATTTAACCCACTTTATGTTTATATTCCTTTTATGATTCCTGACATACCTACTGTACAGCTTGTAATGCAATACTCAACAAAATTTTATTCTATTTTATTTTACTACTAACAGAAAGACAGGAAATTTTCCTGGACTTTAAGCAGGTCTTGAATCTCAGAATAGTACGATTCAACCAAATGCTCTATTGACATACAAAATTTGGCCCTCTCTATAATATATTTGATGTAAAAGACTAGTTTTATGCTAAAGTTTTGTTCTTCTAAAATATTTGCAAATCAAAACATTATTAGTGGTAAGGTATAACATACTGGGTGTAAAGTTAATCGATCCTGTATAGTTTTGTCCAATGTGAATAACACATGGCTCTGCGGCACATGGCTCCAGAACAATCGAGTGAACAACCGCTGTTGACCCTTTGAACAAAATACATTACAACTGTTAGTAAGACATCGTCATAAGATAAGAAATGAATAAAAGAAATATAGCAAAGAGCTGACAAAATATTTCAGCTTAAAAGAGACCTTTTCGACTAGACAAAAACTTCGTGAAAATCGAGAAAAGGTTCGGCGATATAAACGTCAGATTAAATCAAATTAAAAACGGTCGGCTTACACAGCACGCTCTCACCTATTGGAGGCGTTTTAACATTTCCGTAACTTGTTTTTTGTGTTGTGTAATGGTCTGAATTGTCTTTGAAAGTAAAACATTGAACTTTTATTTCAGTTATTGCGATTGCATAAACAACTTGTAATTATATCATTTCATTTCCTAATAATTTTATGCATACTGTATTTTGTGACTTCGTGTATACGTTACAAGACTTAAACGCGAGTTTAAAATTTGATAAGATAATTTTAATGAATTAATTGATATACTCTAAATGTTATACAAACTTTTTGATGATCATAGTAGTTGAATATAATTTGTATTAATAAGCTATGGAAACTTTCTTTATTCGAAGTGATATATAAATATATAAAATGAATTATACTTGCATTTTTGCAAGATGTATTTTCATTTTTGTTTAAAACATGCTAGTGTAATATCTTAATCTGCCAAATATCTGAGCATGAATTAAAGTAAAAGTATACATACCACAGCTTACGTATTTTAGTTGAACAGCTACTGTACATGAAACAAGACTTAAAACTAACAAAGCAATTATTTTGATCATTTTTTCGGTATTTTATCTTAAACACCACGCTTTTGTATAGAGATGCACTTAGCAGAATAAAAGTCGCCCATTTATATAGGACTTTGTGTGTTTCTATTGGCCAATTAGGATGACATGATTAGAAGATCTTCCGACATTATCATTAAAATCACAAGGTCACGTAATGCGGCACAGTAAAGCACCATATCTCCCGTTAGTAGCATTAAAAATTTCTTTCAGACTTTGATTAAGTTTTTCAAGGCCAATTTTAAAAGCATAATTATGCAAATCAACAAAAGTGCAACGTTTGAAATATTCTTATTTCTCAATATGAAATGTATACAGTTTAGTTTCAGAACCTACTTATATTCCGATAATTATAAACGTGTACTGATATGTCGAACTTGTATTTTAATTTTGATTTAAAGATAATTTTAAATGATTAAGGCGTATCTTAATGCATTAAATATTGTTAATCAAATGACTCAGGTACAAATATAACATACGTTTTAATTTTCAATTTGTTTGCGTGCAAGAATTATAATATTTTAATCATTATAGCTGAGTTTTGAACTATTTGTCCAAGTTTTTCTGGGGGTTTTGGGGTTTTTTGTAACAATTAAACATTGTTCAATTTAACATTGATGAATAAATTGATGAATAAATTCTCTGACTTCCAAGTCTTTTGCTGAAACTGAAATGTATCCAATCAATCCCGCCAGGCAATTTTGCCAGATTATAGATGGTTCATAGTTCTGCTCAGATGCATGTTTTTGTGCACGAGGAGGGCGGCCATCTTGGCACAGTAGAGCCGCAAAGCAGCCATCTGACATGTACAAAATATGTTTCATTTGCTACTATGATGTCATACATTTATTGTATTGCTCTGTCCCGTACAAATCAGACAGCCTCGTGCTTCGATGCTCTTTCTATTACATATAGTACAAAATAGTTCTTCAAATACGAATTCAAAATGATGTTAGTGAGTCGTATCCGTGCGTATCGGCACTGTTGACATAAAGCGCTTACTTGCCCGCTTACAGATGCACTGTATTTTAATTTGTGCAAGGAATTGGTTTACTATTTTCTAAAATCAGTTAAACTGGGTTAAACTCCACGTGTTGCAGTATCAACACATACCGCGTAAAAAAAACTTTTGAAAATTTGATCTACTTTATAACTTGCGGCCTCACATGCACTTTTAAGCAAAAAATGCTAATTTGATACCTAGTAACATAAACCCGCGGCAATATATTGTAACAAATAAATCGCTTTAAACATGTTAAAGCGGACTTCAGATTTTGTTTAAATATGTTATTGTTAGATAAATCAAAGGAATTATGGTGAAAAATGAAATTTACCACATACATTAACAATAAGGAAACCCCTAGATATCTCTAATGTACCGGTTCGCTCTACATATATAAATCAGTAAAGCGGACGATTCGTTCACTGATTTTTTTTAACAACGAACTTCACGTACGCGTCGGGGCGCTGTTTTGAAGAAGTTAACAGTTATATGAAGCACATTTCCAAGATAGAAGCACTGATATACTTAGTTTGAAATAACACAGAACTGTTGAAGCAACAAAAAAATAAAAGCTGAAAACAATGTTAACAATGGCATGAAATGAAACATCCTTGTGTAGGACAAATACATTTCTAAATATTTCGAAATAAAGAAATTATATGAAATATCTCACGAAAAGAGAAACCCAAGGGTTTTTGGTTTTTTTGGGTTTTTTTCATAATAAATGTTGATTTGTTGTTGTTTTTTTTTTGTTTGTTTTTTTTTAACATATTTTTTATATTTGTTTATTTTTTCAACATTGCATGAATGGAAATATTTTTGTGATTATTGTACCGTTTGAGGTCTGGACCTCAGTGCGTTTTTCACACTCATTTTATTCTGACTATCTCTTGCATACAAGAAAATCGCGACACAACTAAATATTGCTTTAAATAATATATCTTTTAAACTAAACTTATTCTCATTTTGATGCCTTTGAATTTAACTGCCAGTATGCTTATAAAATACACCACTAACCCGTTTAGTACAATTTAATTAAAAGATTGAAAGACAAATAAAGAGGACATCTTTATTATGAAAATCTTACGATGCAAACATGTTCACTATCGTTACAAATACTGAACCTTTGTGCTACTGAATTTACGAGAGAAGTAGATGGTACGATGTGGAAATATCATGGCGCCACCAATTGTGATCTATATATTACCCTTGTTTTAGATGACCTTTGAAAAGTGTTCGTTTATCAGGCGGTGTTATAAAAAGTTGGATAACTGCTATACTATAAAAGAGATAAACTTAATGATAACTTTCGCTGTGAACAAATATTTCTAACGTTTAACAATCATGATGTTTAAGGTAGCTTGTTTTTTTCTCAGCGTAGCGTTCGTTGTCGGAAATATTCAAATTACAGTTCACGACTGTGGTAAGATTACACATACTAATATTAACATTTTAATTGAAATGTTTAATTATTTTTCTAGTTATTTTTTCTAAAATGTATTGACTTTCATATAGCCGTAATAATTCAATTCATTATGTCTCTGTTCTAAAAATGACTGTTAAATTCACGTATAAATTTACAAATAATATTTTTGTGTAGAAGACTCTTGTATTGTAACATTA